GGAGGCGCTGTGCTCAGGCTGCCTTCTGGAAGCTGGTGGTAAATGAATAACCTTGTTCCTACCTTCAGGGCCCTCTGGGACAAAGGAGCCACTCAGGTGCCCCTCGGTTCTGACTTGGCCCAACCTGGCATCCATGGCCAGAGACTGTGGAGGTTCAAGGGCAAATGCAACCCCCTTGGCCCATCTGCCCCGTTACTCCCTCAATTCCATCCCAGCCAGGCCCAGAGAAATTTCTCCTCTTAGTTCTCTCCCTCTCACCTCCTGTTGCTAAGCTTCCTCCCTCCTGACCCTTCCCCGTTGAGCCCCTCCCCTTCACTGAGCTCCCTCCTTCTCTTTGGGCCCCCTCCCCTCACGGAGGCCCCCCTACTCTGCTCTCCCCCTTTCCTGAGCTCACTTCCGGTCCAGCTCTCCCTCCAGCCTCTCCCCTTCATTCCTCCCTCACCTTTACTCCCCCTCAGGCTAGAAGAGTGGTTTCCCCAAAGCACCCCCAACCCCAACCCCTTGAACCTTCCTGGAATCTTATAGAGAATGACCTAAAGCCAGGGTGTCCCTACTATTCATGGTAACCTCCTTCCTCTTCCTTGGATCATAAAGGGTGGCTACATGTCGGTATTCCCTAACTGGATAATTTGGGGGGAGCTGGAGGGGGGAGTAGCCTGCTAAAAAACCCGGTGGCCACTAGGACCTTCTGCTGAAGCTTTGCTGCAGGTGAAGTTTGAGATACAATAACTGGGAAATCATTCTCTTCCATCCCATATCCTGTCCCTTGATCCTTGCTCCCTGTCAACTTGCTAACTTGGCCTAGACTCCCTTTATAAGCAAAGGTCTTGGGCCCATGGTCCAGATGTTCTGATTTTACTTCTCAACTCCCACTGGCTTTTCCGCCTGCTGGGTCTGCCCGCCCGCCTCCTGCCGAGGCCACCAGGAACCACCTTGCTGCCTTGAACCCCACGGCTACTCCTTGGGCCTCATCTTGCCTGACCACTTTTGCAACCTCAGTCACCCTGGTTTCAGGTGCCATCTGTATGCTAACAACAGCCGGCGTTGGCCACTCCCGAGTCTCAGTTCTTTATATATGCCCTGCCGCTTCCTGGACGTCTCTGCCTGGAGGCCCAACAGGCTTGCCAAACTCTGTGCATTCAAAACTGAAACCATCATCTTTCCCCAGAAACCTAGTTTCCCATTTTGGTAAATGGCATCCGCCATCCCAGCAATGACCTAGGGCAGAAGATTGGGGTTATCCTAATGTTTCCATCTCCCTCACCCTACCTATCGAGATGCTTCTCAAGCCCTCATCTTGCTTCCTTCCAGCCCCTGTCAGGCCCTGCTCCTGACCCCACTGTCCCTGCCTTCTTTCTGGCCACACCATCTCCAAGAGGATGGCTGTGGAGCCTCTTCGATGGTGTCCCCACCTTCTTCTCCCTCCTGGAATCCCACTTCCCCAGGGGCTCCTGGAGATGGTATTTTGGAGCATAAATCTGACCAGTCATCTGACTTCCATGACTCCCAAAACACCAGAGTTAAGGTCCAGAGTCTGTAATTCTGCATCTGAGACTCCATGGCTTGGCTTCCTCCTGGCCCCTGGCTGGGCCTCACCACATTCCCCTCACACTTTGCTATGCGGCCAGCCCTGGGGGATCTCTCTTTCCTGGTCCCAGGCACAGGCGCCCTTTCCTATTACCTGAACCTCCTGCGCCTTCTCCCGGACACAAGGCCTTCCAAGCCTGTTTAAACTCAAGCCCTACAGCCTCGCCAGAGGGTCATGCATCCTGACCCTTGGGGGTCCCTAGGAAGAAAATGAGGCCCCTTCCTCCTCGCCCCTCCAGGTGAGAAACTGCCGCCCAGCTTTACTTTTGACGCTGTTTTACCAAAACAATAGGGCTTTTTGTTCCCCCCTTCCAAATATGAAATCATAGCACTGAATGTGCTCTTTCACACGGAGAGGGAAGATTAGATGTGCAGCCGCACAGGGGAGGACGATTCTCCAAGCACAAACCCAGAAGGCAAAAACTAGGGAGGAGGGCCCGGGGCCACACTTCTCCCC